ACTCGAACCACGGTCGACTACGTGGGAGTCCAGCGACATAGCCATTATGCTAACTGCTGGTCCCTAATTTATTTTTTTTTAAAAATAATTATTTTATTTAGATTTATTTATGTATGTATGTATGTATGTATGTATGTATGTATGTATGTTAATTTGACCAGAGAGGGGCAGAGAGAGGAAAAGCAGGAAAGCAAGCCACCAGGTCTGGGACTCAAACCTCAGTTGGCTATGTGGGAGTCCAGTGCCCTTAATCACTATGCCACCTACTGGCCCCATTATTATTATTTTTTAATTTGTTATAGGGTGCATGCACTCACTAGAGAGAGAGGGGGGGGAGGGAAGGAGAGGGGAGGGGAGAGAGGAGGAGGAGGAGGAGGAGGAGGAGGAAAGTGTCCACACAGGAACTTGAACCACAATCAGCCATGTGGGAGTCTAGCACCTTAACCACCACGCCTCATGTTTCACCCCCAGCATGTTTTTCATGATTAAATAAATGATTTTGCTATAGGGCATGTGCGCTTGCCAGAGAGATGGAAAGCGAGAAACTACCACCTGGGGGGGATTGTCATACCACAATCCCTTCTTCCTTCTGCTCTTGGAATTTGGGGCATGCATGCACACGTGCCTGGTGTGAGTTTCAAGCTGCTGGCTCCAGAACTTGAACTGTGGTTGACTATATGGGAGTCCAGTGACAGAACCTTTACACTATTCACTGGTCACTGCATGGCGTGTTTTTGAAACCACTGGGGTCAGGACTTAAAACCACATGGATGGCTATGTGGGATCTGGCTCTCCCTTCTCACCAAGCCACAGGGCCAGCCTGAGAGCATGTAGTTTTATAAATGAGACCCTAACATCTAAATTCTTCAGGCATTTGATTATTTTGGGGGGGATGGTAGAAGAATGACTTATTTTATTATTATTATTATTACTACTACTATTTAATTGTTAGAGGGCATGTGAATTCACCAGACAGAGACAGAGTGAGAGGCAAAGTGAGAAAGCAAGTCACCAGGTCTTTGGACTTGAACCACAGTCAGCGATGTGGGAGTCCAGTGCCCTAATCACCACATGACCTGCTGGTCTCTTGGTTATTTGTTAATGTCTTGCCTTTGTTTTTTCTCTTTACTCTCTCCCCCATTTTAAAGTTCCTTCTCCCAAATTAATTTTCCTTAACTTTGTTCTTCTTAAAATTTCCTTGCCACAATTGATTAATAAAACTGTTTTCTGTGAACTGGCCTCATGAAACCTCTAACACTTGAGGCATGTTGGAAAATAAGAAAATCAGCAACTTACTGGAAGTCTTTCCTGTCAGTGAAGTGATGCTCAACCTCCGAGCGGCAGTGGGCGACTTCTGCTGGGGTGGGGTCCGACACTGCTTCACGAGGTCCTCGTCGGACGCTGAGGCCATCAGTTCTCCAATCAGAATCCTCTCCAGGCTCCCGTCATCAATGCCTTTTCCCAGCCACCGTCCACAGGGGAATCTAGTAGGAGAGGAAGAAATCTCGGCGTCACTGATTTTTTTTTTGGTACTAGTTCTACAAATGCTACCATGGGTGAAGCCCATTACGTTAATGATTATGGACTGTTAAACCGTGAAAAATGTTGGAAATAAAGAAAATTAGGGAATAGCATATTAGATAGCTATATTTTTATCATTTAGACTTAACATTTTGTCATGTGCGTCATTTTTATATTTTGCTCAAGTATTTAAAATAAATTACAGGGCCAGCCAGTGGCGTAGTGCTTGAGGCAACTGGATCCCACTTGGTGGACTACATGGTTCAAGCCCCAGACTAGGCAGCTTGAGACACACACCGGGTGTGTGTGTGCACGTGTGCCCAAAATCCTGAGAGGAAGGGAAGGGACCGTGGTGTGGCCATTCCCTCCTGGAGCTGCATTCTCACTTTCTCTCACTCTCTCTCCATCTGGTGAATGCATATGCCCTACAGCAAATTTAAAAAATACATGTATTATAAATTTTTATTTTTCCAGAGAGCAATGTGTTTGCCAAAGAGATAAAGTACACCCCAAGGAGAATGCTACCACCACAATCCTGCTTCCCTTCTCTAACCTTCTCAGGATTTGGAACATGAACGCACGTGCACTCAGTGTGTTTCTCAAGTCACTGGGCTTAGGACTTGAACTATGTGTTAGGCCATGAGGGATCTGTCTGCCTTAACCACAAGGTTACAGAACTAGCCAACATCAGGATACTTTTTAAAAATTTATTTATTTAATTTTGTTATTATTATTTATTATTATTTTCAAATTTGACCAAAGAGAAGGAGTGAGAGAAGGGGAAAGTGAGAAAGCAAGCCACCTAGTCCAGGACTCAAACCATGGTTGGCCATGTGGGAGTCCAGCACCTTACCCACCATGCCACCTGCCAGCCTGAGGACATTTCATCTCTAAAAACACTTTGTATGAATTCTGAAAATATAAACTATGCTCCTACATAACCACAAATGATTATCATACGCCCTTCAAAATTAAAAAAAATTCTTCAGTATTTTCTTAGACCTACTCTACATGAAAATTATTTGATTAGTTTTGGAAAGATGATTTTTATTTATTTTTTAAAAGAATGATTTATTCAAATTTATTTATTACTATTATTATTTAATTTGACCGGAGAGCGAGAGAAAGGGCAAGAAAGAAAGCAGGCCACCAGGTCTGGGACTCGAACTGGGGTTAGCCATGTGTGAGTCCAGCGCCTTAACCACACGCCACTTACTGGCCTCAGAAAGATCATTTTCAAACTCAGTATTAATATGGGAGTTAAGTCACAGGATAAAAGAGGAGAATGCTTCCACAGAGTAGCACTGGCTTTAACTAGTAGATTCTAAGAGATTCTTCTGCTTCCTGAAATTATTTGAAGCTCTTTCAGTGCTGTGGACTAAACATTAGAATGATCGTCATCTGAGGCAGTTCTGCATTATGTAAACAAAAACAAACAAAACAAACTTGAAAACTAAACTGAAACTTGGGGAAGGCAGTTGAAAAGCTGTCAAAAGAAAACAATTACCGGAACCAGCAGGTGGCGTAAAGGTTGGGCTAGACACTCAAACATGGCCAACCACGATTTGAGTCCTGGACTTGGTGGCTTGCTTTCTCACTTTCTCTTTCTCTCTCCTCAAATTAAGATAAATAAATGAATAAATGAAATTGAATAAATAATTCTTTAAAAAAAAAGAAAACAATTACTAAACCTTTTTAGATCCAAAGAGTCTCAAGAAAAAACTCCTGCATTCCCAAGGCCATTTACTTACCTGTATGTATGTCCTGTGATTTCATTTCTGACCATGACACAATCCACTAGCCATTTGGCTAACAGTCCTGAGTTATCGTGACCGATCTGCACAGTTGTCAGCTTCCCCAAGTTCTGGCACTGTAAGGATAGGACCGCAGGTGTCAGTACCTGAACCTATCCTGCTGCCTCTCAGCTTTATCGGCGGCATCACCCTAGACCTGCCTGGTGTAACAGGTGCAGGGACCCTCCCTGCATGATATGCTCAGCCACGCACTGGACAAGTACTTCATGCGTATTCTTTGTACTCAGGGAGCCCCCACCTGATGATGCAGGAGACACAAGGACATTCACTGCCAAATGAGGCAAGGTGGAACTGCTGCTAGGAGAAGACGGGGGAAGAAACGGTTACTTCTACTGGGGAACCCAGAAGCATCACTGAGACAGTGCTGAGTGCCTGAAAGGATGAGAGTGGGAGAAGGACACTATTCGGATTCTGTCACAGAGAGGTCAGGAGAACAACTCTAGGTTAAAAACCGTCACTACAACAGACATTTTCCTGTTTCTAATAAAATACTAAGGCAGCCTGACATCAAACCTTATCTAACTAGAAGTCTCTGAGGCTTCAGTACAAAGGCACAGTTAGCAACATTCTTACTGGCCCTTTGTGAACAAGTACAAAATAAAGCAATGATAATAGAAACAGTAAAATCAAATGTTAATTAAATTTTTAAAAATTATTTATTTAATTTTATTTATTCATTCATTTATCTTATTTTTTAATTTGACCACAGTAAGACACACGGAGAGAGAGAGAGGTGGGGGAGGGAAAGTGAGAAAGCAAGCCACCTGGTCTGGGACTCAAACTGCAGTTGGCCATGTGGAAGTGTCCAGTGCCCTCACCACCACGCCAGTTGCTGGTCCCCTATAGCCTGATTTTTTTTTTCCTTTCATTTATTTATTTTTACATTTTAAATGTTAATTAAATTTTAACTTTTAAAATCTGATAATGAAAAGACTGCAGGCCCCAACTGACTATTGCTGGATGGGAACATCAGAGCCTGGGTTTCCAAGGCTCGCGGCCTCACTGGGCCCCAGTGAGAAGGCCCCAGTGACTCAGCACAGGAGGATGGCCTCGTGAATTAGTCATGTGGCAGAGATGGAAAGCAGTAGGTAGATGAGAGAGGGCTTGGAAAAAGCGGTGACGGGACTTATAATGTACTTTCTGTTCCATAATTGGTAGGTGCAGAAAAGCCAAGGGTTTTAATCTTTTATACACAGATGGCTGTGAGTCTACTGCACAGATAAGGCCAAAATGGGGCCTTAGGGGCACTGTGATTCTAAGTGCAAACTGCTATTCCTAGACCTCAAAGAACAGGGCATTCAGTTAGCGCCACTTCTCTCCTGGAACATGAGCAGGTGTTTGTCTTCTTCCTGCACGCGGATTGAAAAACATGTAAATATTTCACCAGGTGGGACCTAAAAACTGACAATAATATGGAAAAGTATTTTAATAAATCACTATATAAAAGTCACTGTGTGGTCTAAAAGCCATTAGTGTGGATCTCAGCTCTCCTGTCCTTTTGCCAAAGGATGCCGGGTTTAGGCAGATCGTTTCATAATAGGGAGGAGAACCACATGGAGAGAGCATTTACTTGAACGTTTCCTGCTTGCTGAGTCCAGTGCAGGCACTGGGAATCAAGGAATACGACCAGGTAAAGCCAGAAAGCGCACCATTACAAGTACAGAAACAGAGCTTAACGACTACAGTAACAATGAAAATACAAAACCAATCAGTGTGAGCTACATGAGACAGCTTTAAGCATATAATCACAAAAATGACGACATGTGTGATTGTCCCTGTATTTAATTTGATTCAAGGCAAAATGAAAAACAAAACTGGAATCCTATACAACTACAGATGACATTTTCTGCTAAGAAAGGCTAATACTGACGGTACCTCAAAAGTCATCTCGAGGAGGTTTTTGGGAATCTGCATTATGCCCGTGTCTCCCAGCTCTCCCGAGACACAGATCCAAGGGTTGGAAGTGATGATCGCGTTGCTCAGCTTTTTGATAGGGATGATCACTGACCTATATGGAATCACTGAGAGAGAAATGCAGAAATTAATGAAAAATTACAACAGAGTTCTTCTGATCATAAAACAAATACATGTCATGAATTGTTAACTATCTAAGACTGCTTTGTATGATCTGTCAGGAGTATTTTAAGAGAAGATGATGAGGAACCAGCAGATGGTGTAGTGGTTGTCTTGCTGGACTCTCACATGGTCGACCACAGTTTTCAGTCCCTGACCCTTTCTTGAAACTCACGCCAGGCACATGGGAGTGTGTGCCCAAGGTCCCGGGAGGAAAATGGAAGAGAAGGGACTGTGGCATGGCCATCCCCCTGGGAGGTGATTTCTTGCTTTCCCTCTCACTGTGCCCCCTGACCCCGCTACACGCTCCAAGGCAAAAACCTTTTAAAAAAAAAAAAAAAAAAAAGACCAAAAGATGAGATTATGATTTCCTCCAGTCTAGGAAGGTGACTTTGTAATTCACAAGTCCCAAAACTTGTGCCAGTTTCCACAACATACACAGTGCCATTAAATTTGCAGTCACAAGCGTTAACACTAGAGTGACCGGGGACATAAACACAGACTATGCTATATGATGTTGTCACTACATAATTTTCTTTTTTTTTTTTTTGAGAGGTTTTTGCTATAAGGCGTGTGCACTCACCAGAAAGGCAGAGACAGAAAGACAGAAAGCGAGAAATCACCACCCAGGGGGCATGGCCATGCCACAATCCCTTCTCCTCCATTCTCCTCTCAGGATCTTAGGCACACACACACGCACCTGGCGTGAGGTTAAGCCACTGGGTCCAGGACTTGATCTGCAGTCAACTACATGGGAGTCCAGCGACATAGCCATTATGCCAAATGCTGGTTCCACTATCTAATTTTTTTAAAAATTAACTTTACACCCAAATCAGGTACAAATGATCATATTACTGTGGTTTCACACACAAAGAGGGGTCGATGACATCGTGGACAGCATCCAACTGCTGCTGGTTTTCTCGGGCAATGCTTTCAAGTGCTGTACTTCGGAACATTCCCCGTCCAAGATAACAGCACAGTATGCACAGCCAAGAAGAATAACCAATGGTACATCCATTCCGGACATGCCGTCAAAGTCTATAAACCACAACCTGACGGCCATTAAGGTGATCCACACGGGGTGAGAAGGTGGTGTAGTAGCTGAGGTGCTGGACTCCCACTTAAGCTGACCATGGTTCAAGTTCCAGATCCAGCAGTTCGAGAATCATACTGGGCATGTGTGCATGCGTGTCCAAAACCCCAAGAAGAGACTGGAGGAGGAGGGACTGTAGGAGGGCCATTTCCCCCAGGGGGTGATTTCTCACTTTCTGTATCTCTCTGGCAAGTGCATATATTTTATAGCAAAAACATAAAAAAAAAAAAAGAAAAAGAAAAAGAAAAAGAAAGGTGATTTGTGCACAAGAGATGCCTCAGAGTGAAGACATGGGAAACCCTCTCCTTCCGAAGGCACACCACCAGGTGTCACTGTCCTACCACTGTCCTTCGCTCGAATGTGGACACGCAAGTCAGACATGACACACGCCTTCTCCTTTTTTTAAAAAACCAAGGACGACACAAACATATCAGCATATTCTTTGTCCATTATAGTTATATTTGTAAAAGAATCAGTTATTATTTAATTTTATTTATTAATTCATTTATTTTTATCTGACCAGAGAGAGAGAGAGTGAGAGAAGTTAGAAAGCAAGCCACCAGGTCCGGGACTCAAACTGTGGTTGGTCATGTGGGAGCGTCTAGTGCCTTAACCACCATGCCACTTGCTGTCCCCTGCTTTTTATTTATTTATTTTTAAAGTATGGTAGAATAAAAAAAAAAATTGTTGGTATCCTTGAGATTTTTTGCTAATTCGGTCACACGAAGCGTGTGAGAAGCCCTCCCAGAACAGTTTACATGCAGGATGAAGAACACTTACTGTATAAGGAGCCGGGATACAGCCTACAATACGCACTCATGACTCAGCGCTCTCAAACGAGGAAAACGAATGGGATAAATGGTTCATTTCCCTAATTTTACATAAACGACTTTCTTTATGCTGGGTGAATAACCTTTTTTTCTGTCCTTTTATTTTGGATGAAGAGAAAGAAAATGTCAAAGGAAAGGCCATTCTTCATGGTTTAGTAATCATCAGAATCAAATGGTTTTTGAAACTGGAAGCAGGCGAGGTTAGCGTAAGAATTTATTTTAGGTGCCAGAGGCCCTCTCATTTCTTGCTGATAGGATTAGAAAAACTACAGAAAAAGGAGTGTTGAAGGTCAGCAATTCTGTGGCAGTAGATGGCCCATGGCCCACGGATGCACAACAGGGATTTCACAGTTTATTTATTTAAAAAAGCAACATCATTAGACTTAGGCTCTTTCCTTAAAGAATCTCAAATTGAAACAGTTACTCAGTTGAAGAGAAATCTGTAGATGTAAGGAGGAATTTAGGAGTCCCAACACTCTCTTCTATTTCTTTTCTTTCAGTTGGGCCAATAGACGGCACAGTGGTTAAGGTGCTGGATCTCATATGGTCAGTGGTTCAAGTCTCAGACCTAGCAGTTTGAAAAACCTGTCAGGTACATGTGCGTGCTTGCTCATGTACCCAGAAATCCCAAGAGGAGAACGGAGAAGGGATTGCAGCAAGGTCACACCTGCTGAGGTTGGGAGGATGATTTCTCATTTTCTCTGTTTCCAGTGAGTGCATGTGGCCTACAGCACAAAAACTAAAAACTTAAATAAAAACAACAACAACAACAACAACAACAATAACAAAAAACAAACGCTGTATCTGGTGGAGGTGAAGGCAGCCGGATTTCACATGGCCAACTGTACGATCCAGCATGGACCTGGCCGGTTCTCATGCCGGGGGCATGTGAGTGCATGCCCCAAATCCTGAAGAGAATGGAGGAGAAGGGACTACAGCATGGCCATTCCCCTTGCAGGACACTTTCTCATGTGCCATCTCTGCCATTCTCTCTGTCTCTTTCCAGTGAGCGTATGTGCCCTACTGCAAACTTAAGAAATGAAACAAAACAAAAAATAAAAAAACTGTACTTCACAACTTACATTCTTATACTTGAAGTAACCTCATAAATGGTAGATATTACCTACATGCTGGGTACTATAAGTTAGCTAATAACCATTGCAGCTCCCTTTTTCCTTGTCTGCCTCTACTGGAGACTAGAAATCCAAAACCTATACAGGCCTAGGGGGCTGGCATGTGGCGTGGTGATTAATACACTGGACCCACAAAGCTACCATGGTTCGTGTCCCAGACCTGGTGGCTTGCTTCCTCACTGTCTCTTTCTCTCTCTCTGGTCAAATTAAAAAATATATAATAATGATGAATAAAATATAATCATTTTTTTTTAAAGAATTGTTTTATTTAACTTCATTCATTCATTTCATTTCAATCTGACCAGAGAGGGACAGAGTGAGAGGGACGGGGGTGGTGGGGGGAGTGAGAAAGCAAGCCACGAGGTCCAGGCTAAAACCACAGTTAGCCACGTGGGAGTCTAGCACCCTTAACCACTATGCCACCTTCCAGCCCCAAAATATAATAATTCTTAAAACAAAACAAAACCTACACAGTTGTGGTCAGTGAAACATTAGAGATGTTTATAGTTTTTTAAAAATTAATTAATTTTATTAATTATTATCATTTTATTTTGTTTGCTATAGTGCATATGCATTCATGAGAGAAAGGGGAGCGGGGAGGAAAGTGAGAAAGCAAGCTGCAACTGCCAGGTCTGGGATTCGAACTGTGGTTGGCCATGTGAGAGTCTAATGCCCTACCTACCATGCCACCTGCTGGCCCCTAGAGTTTTATTATTATTTTTTTTAAAAGAGATTTTTGCTATAGGGTGTATGAGCTTGCCAGAGAGACAGAGAGAGACAAGAGAGAGACAGAAAGTGAGAAATCATCCCTAAGGGGGGACTGGCCATTCCACAATCCCTTCTGGTCCATTCTCCTCTTGAGATGCACATATGCACATGTGCCTGGTATGGGTTTGAAGCCACTGGATCCAGGAACTTCGGAGAAGTCCAGGGACATAACCATTATGCCATCTGCTGGTCCTGAAAATTATGCTTTTTTCTAGCACAGATCCTGCTCTTCCTCCTTAACACTCTCCCTGGCTGCTGCAAGGTAGATTGAAAACAACCATCTTGCGATCACAGCAGATCTACACACTAAGGATGTCTAAAAGGAAAGGGGTGAGTCTGGGTGTACTGCAGACTGCCTACCTGGAGACTCTTCACTATGTAAGAAAAATAAAACTAAGTGTGACCAGCAGTTACTGTAATGGTTGTGTCACTGGACTCCCATGTAGTCGACCGTGGTTCGAGTCCCGGACCTGGTGGCTTAAACTCACGCCGGGTGCGTGTGTGTGCGTGCCCAAGATCCCAAAAGGAGAATGGAGGAGAAGGGACTGTGGTGTGGCCACCCCCCTGGGGGGTGATTTCTCGCTTTCTATCTCTCTGTCTCTCTCTGTCTTTCAGGCGAGCCCAAAAAAAAAAAACCCACAAAAAAAAAAAAAAAAAAAAAAAAAAAGAAGAAGAAAGAAAACTAAGTTATTTAAACACTGGCTTTCAAGTTTCTGATACTTCTTGCTGAACACAATTACTAATTGATACAAGAAAAAAAGAATTGGTAACAGTGGGTAGAATAAATGTTATAATTCAGCTTTCTTTCAAAAATATGTATCCAGGGCTGGGACCAGCAGTTAGTGTAATGGCTATGTCGCTGGACTCCCACGTAGTCAACCGTGGTTTGCGTCCTGGACCCGGTGGCTTAAACTCACACCGGGCGCGTGTGCGTGCGTGCCCAAGATCCCGAGAGGAGAATGAAGGAGAAGGGATTGTGGCGCGGCCATCCCCCCTGGGGGGTGATTTCTCGCTTTCTATCTCTCTGTCTCTCTCTCTCTGTCTGGCGGTCACAAGTGCCCTATAGCAAAAACCTCTCCAAAAAAAAAAAAAAAAAAATCCATCTAGGGCTGGCCCCTCTAGTGCACTGCAAGCACAAAGGAAAGTGCAAAGGAACCTGGATGGACATGGCTGGCCCGAGTGCCTTGGAAAACACACTGGGGTGAAGGGCAGCAGGTGGCATGGTGGTTAAGGTGCTGGACTCCCACATGGCCGACTGCAGTTTGAGTCCCACACTTGGTGCCTAGCTTTCTCACTTTTCCTCTCTCTCTGGTGAGTACACATGCTCTATAGCCTCCCTGCACAGTGCTTAACTGCTGTGCTATGGGGCCAGCCCTGTAACTCTCATTTAAAGAAGGCATTCCTTTTCATGTCCACGCTGGTTCCCGCTTCCTACCACAGCCTGGGCTCTGAGGCAGAAACCAGGACGCACAGGATCCTCCAGGGATCTGCACGTAAGGACAAAGGCAGGACTGGCTGGGGGAATGCTGAGCCACCACGCAGTCTCGGCCGGTCCTCAGTGGACTCCACAGTGAACGCTAGGACTGCCCTGTGATCGGTCATGCCACGTGGCCCACTGGGGGGAAGGCCTCGCCTCCAGGACGCAGCTGTCCTCAGGGAGGCACTCCCCACTGCAGAGAGCAGAGGCTGTCTTCCAGCAGCACCATCCGCAATGGGAGCTCTGCCCACCCCCACCCCTAACCCCATGTCCCTCTCACTATGGCTTATTTTACTTCTAAACATGTAAATGCTATTATTCCGTTAGCCACCTGAGTAACTCTTCGTGTAGCAGCTCTGCAGACTTACTGATGGTGGTGAACACACTGGTGAAGCAGAAGTAGTCCACGGCATTGAGGGAAAGTAGGTGGTACAGGAACTGCTCTCTCTCCTCCTCACAGCGCAGGAAAGCGTAACGCTTGTACAGCTTCCTGAGAAAGGGCGAGACAAGCACAAAACGGTGCACTAGATTTTTCATGCTTTCCATATGTCTTGATCTTTAACACATGCTTCCACATAGTCAAATAATGGGTAGAAACTTAAATCTTGAGAGAACAGACAACTATGGACATGTAAAGAGTTCATAAAACATTTTAAAACTAACTAGTAATTAAAGAAAAAAAATCCCACATACCCACTTTGCCTATCAAACTAATAAAGATTTTTTTTTTAAGAGAGATTTTTGCTATAGGGTGTGTGTGTGTGTGCTCGCAGGAGAGACAGAGGGAGGCAGAGAGAGACAGAAAGCAAGAAATCACTCCCTGGAAGTGGGGGGGGAAGGCTATGCCACAATCTCTTCTCCATTCTCCTCTCAGGATTTTGGGCACACACGCACGCACCTGGTGTGAGTTTTAAGCCACTAGGTCTGGGACTCGAACTGCAGTCGACTACTTGGGAATCCAGTGATGTAACCACTACACCAGCTGCTGGTCCCTGAACTAATAAAGATGTAAAAGTGACAACCAGTGCTGACAAGGGAGCAATGAAAAGCCATCCTCGCAGTCTTCGGGAAAGCCCTGTGTTGGTAACCTTGGCTCACTGGTTTTACTTTCAGGATTGAGTGCTAAGAATACAATATGAAATATGGGCAAAGATTCATTTAAAAATGTCCACTAAAATGCTATTCATAAAAGCAAAAGTGTATCAGGAGATATTCATGTTGGAATATTGTGTGGCCACTGAAAATAAAGTTTAGAAAGAGTTAACAGTAGAGGACCTACTACTACTAAAAGCAATAAATAACTTTTATTAAGCACTTACATTTAAATACTTTTCGAGTGTTTTATCAGAATAGTTAAGTCCTTACCCTACAGGGTTCCCTTAAGTTACCACCCTGTGAGGCAAGTCTATTAGTAACTTCATTTTATAAATGGGGAAAAGAGAGATACAGAAGTTAAATATCTTGCCTAAGGCCCAACAGTCAACAGAAAAGGCAGTATCTGAGAGTTGCAACTCTTGTGATAAAGTAAATGTTTATAATTAAGCTAAGAACAGGATGATACTGAATCACAAATAGAGCATACACTCAACTAAGAGAATATGAATAAAGTACAGAAGAAAATAGGTGGAATACTTGGTATTATTCTTTATGTGGCAGAATTAAAAATGATCATTTTCTTCTTTGTACTTTGGTCACAATGGGCATGAATGACTTTTATAATTGGAAGAAAAAAAATGTCAGTTTTAAGAGAACAAGGTCACGTTCACAGGCTGTTTTCTCATACAGCAGTTTTTATCAGAACTACTCTTTGGACATACAGAGTCATTCTAAGGGCCAGCAACTGAAAAGTCCTGGGTTCACTTCCTGGGCCCTCCCTGAGCACTGGGCACATGTGGCTGGGCCTGTGACCCACACTGGCTGAGACCAGGGTGGGTCATGGTGTGGCAGCCCTATTTGGTACCTTTCTCACTCAGATGGTAAGAAGAAATAAACTTAAAAAAAAAAAAAAAAAGAGAAACTCATTCTAAAATGCTTCCGGGGTAAGTAATGCGAGGTTAAGAACGTACAAATGCAAAACTATGAGAGGTATTGAATTATCATGAAGGTATTTCAACAGACTGTCATGTTTGAGGTCTTTGTTGAATTCTTTGCATATCTTTGCTCTTGAGAACACAAAGTCCTCAGCCTTCAAATTAACTCTAACATACAGATCTGGACAATTAACTCAAACATACGGATCTGGACAACTCCTGATAGAGTAAAGGGAAACTATCAAAATGGTTAACAATGGGGGCCAGCAGCAGGTGGTGTGGTGGTTAAGGTGCTGGACACTTCCACGTGGCTGACCACGGTTTGAGTCCTCGACCTGGTAGCTTGCTTGCTCACTTTCCCTCTCTCTCTCTCTCTGTATCTTTCTGGTCAAATTTAAATAAATGAATTAATAAATAAAATTAAATAATTCTTAAAAAAAATTAAAAAAGATAAACAATGAACTGACATGCAATTGGCTTCCTGGCTCTAAACTATTCGGTGGTTAAGTACTGGCAAGATTGTCAGAAGAAGCCCTTTACTGTGGCTGTTTTTGTTTTCACTACTCCAGGGTTTGTTGTGATTTTTACTGTATGAGGTTTCCAAAAGTCCTACCTATCCTGTGAATGTTATCATCAGCATGTGTGGACTAGTTAGCTTTTCTTCTCATTAAAGCAGAGCAACCTGGCTTTTGGTTGTGACATTTGTTGTGCCCGCCCAGAAATGATCAAAGATTCTGTGGAGACAGAGCTCCCAAGCATATGCCTGTTAGATAAAAATGTGTGTGCACAGGAATCAGCGACTCATGCTGAAGAAGCCAGTCCATCAGCTTATGCACTCTTCTCTACAAGCACAAAGGTCACAGGAACAGAAATGTCTCCAACAGCAGCATCTTACTTGGTGAGGAGCTGGTTGGAGAGCAACTGCTTGAGATGCTGGGACAGGAGCTTCTTTTCTAGAGACAACCTTATCCACGCCCGAGCTCGTCCGACATCAGTCTTGATCTCACTCATGTTCTGAATGTGCCTAAAGAACAGCAGCAACAGAAAGAGAGAGATCCTAAGGACACGTGAACTAGAAAAGAACTGAAGAGTTAACAGTGCTGCGTACAGAAAAGTCTGTCATACTTAGAGAAAGCAACGGGTAATACAACATTTATGTGGATTAAACCTTCAAAGGTTCCCTCTGAATCCTGAATTTAGTCCCACATCAGATTGCTGTTACAACATGAGCACACAGGGCATATTTTAAGATAAAGCATTTATTAATCATTCACTCCTTCGGATTTTATGTCCTTGTTTCAGCCTCACAGATACCTCCAAACAGGGACTTCATTCTTCCTGACTCAAAAAAATAAAAGTAATAACGTAGGTTGAATATTCAAGTTTTAATTAAAATAACTGCTCCACAGCTTAATTAAATTTCTGCCACAACTTTAATCCACTGAGTATTTTTTAAATTGCTCTTTACAACCTCTAGAAAATAGAAAATATTTCTTTTTTCTTTAATTTTTAAAGTTATTTATTTAATTCTTTTTTTTTTTTTTTTTTTTTTTTTTTTAAACTTGACCAGAAAGAGACCGGGAGAGGGAGAAAAGGAACGTGAAAAAAACAAGTCACCAGGTCTGGGACTCGAACCACGGTTGGCCATGTGGGAGTCCGGCACCCCAACCACCACAGATTTCTGCTGGCCCCAGAAATCTTAATTCTAAGACATCAGAGTAAATAAGCTTCACTACACTGACAATCTTAAAGTTTTGAGACTTGGAAACCTGTGGCCAGAAAAAGAAAAAAAAATGGTGTGGTCAAACCCTAACTAGGTATTATTTACACGTATAAATTAGTATTCTGTATGGAAGTCAAAGCTACCCCCAGCAGGACTGAACTGATCTTACTAAATAATTGTCCTCCTCAGGGGAAATGGAGGATAGGTCAGGGAAAACAAGCCCAAGAGACAGAGTGAACTGTAAGACTGCTAGAGTGAGTCACTGAAAGTCTTTGTTATTGTGACCTACCGGGCCTTCCTTCGATTTTCTTTTATGCCTGAATGACTCAACCTGGCTGTGATAAATATTGCGAGAAATCCTTTTGTCTGCTGATTCTAAGTATTCAGAATAAGGAATGTCCTTCTAACACACACATGCACATGTGAACACACACATACTCTTTTTCCCTTCACTCCCTCCCTTTTTCCTTCCCCTCCTCCAATCTCACAATCTGAACATGTAGGCTTTCAACCTTCAAAGCTGATATATGATCTAACACTTTTTTAAAAAAAATAATTATTCATTCACTCATTATTTTAATTTGACGAGAGAGAGAGAGAGAGAGAGAGAGAGAGAGAGAGAGAGGCAGAGAGAAAGAGGGAGGGAGGAAGAGAGAAAGCAAGCCACCAGGTCCAGGATCCCAAACTGTGGTAGGCCATGTGGGAGTGCCCAGCCCCTTAACCACCACACCACCTGCTGGTCCTAATAAAACTCTTTTGATTTGCCAAGATGCAAAGCATGTATCACATCATACAGACCTCCTGCAGAAGTGGCTTAAAAACAAGCCAGAAATAAAACATAGAAGAAAACTCTGCTGCCATTTGTATGGGGCTTAGCCAGCCCAATCTCGCCTCTAAGAATTTTTTTCAGAATTTGTGACAAACTAATTTTGTTTGTAAAGGGATGATATTGTACTACCCTTCATGGTCATGAGCAGAGAAGGCTTATCCTGTCAGACTCCTCTTAGACCCTGGATCTTACTGCTGGTGGTGGCACTGCTGCGGCACTTGACAACCAAGCTAACCCCTCCAGGACGAGTGTCTGGAACAGCGTTGCTACCTCAACCCTATGGACATTTCCCAAATGATGACTCACTCAGCTGACTAAAAACAGTAAGGGAACTGCTCAGGCATCTACCCTTAAAGTTCAACAGCACTTACGATACTGTAATGAGTGTGGTAGAGTTTACACGTTCCAGGACTTACCAAATTGACTCAAGACATATTAAATGAAGGTGAATCTACGAGGTTTGATAAGTACCTGCTAGGCATCTGTCCCTAAGAAGTCTTCTTACTCTACAACATCAAAGGCTGCTGAAATTAGCTCCACACTGGCTCTAAACAAGCTGGAGACATGGTGGGTGAAGTACGGCAAAGGAGAGAACTACAGTCTGAAAAAAATCTGCTTATGTGTAAAGAAAATAGAAGAAAGAATGAAACACATAGAGTGAAAACTAGTTTGGATGGCACTAAGCATTCCTGTCACGCAAGTAGTTCTCTAGTTTTCTGGAAGGGGGCATGGGTGTCAGAAGCTAAAGTCAATGGACTGTTCTCAAGGCCATCTCATTGACTGAGACAAGGGAAATTAGTCTGCCTTCTTGGGATTGCCTTCTTGGGATCTGCAGTTAGTGTAATGGCTATGTTGCTGGACTTCCATGTAGTCGACCACGGTTTGAGTCCTGGACCTGGTGGATGCGTGTGTGTGCATGCCCAAGACCCCGAGAAGAGAATGGAGGAGAAGGGATTGCGGTGTGGCCATCCCCCCACCACCACGGGGGGTGATTTCTCGCTTTCTGTCTCTCCCTGTCTCTCCGTCTTTCTGGCGAGCACACGCACCCTATAGCAAAAATCTCTCCCCATCCCCCCAAAAAATACTGCCTTCTTAACCTAATTTCTTTGTTCAAAAACCTTAAGAATCTCACAGACTACAACCTGAACTTCTTAGGCTGGCATTCAAGGTCTACGACTCTTTGGCTTGAACATATCTTTCCAACAATATCTCCCTATTGAAATATACCATTCTAGGCCATTGGATCTGCAAGGCTCTACATTTCATTCCCTGAAGCACATAGCCTCTTCCAGTTTTCCCTATTCGATTCTATTCACCTCTGAAACCCCAACCTCTCCTTGACCGTGCGAGTCTTCGATGACCTCTCCAGTCTAAGAATTTCTATAGCTGAACTTGCCACTAATCATATACTTCCAAATATATTTATCACTATTCTTCAGCAAAAGTTTTTCTCACCTGAAGCTCACTCCCCAAAGATAAGCAGACCCATATTTCTTAGGAGGCCTGCTGTTTCTTTGCACCCTACTGGGCTTAGCACATACTAAAAGCTCTGCTGCGTTATAAAGCTGTACCTAATTTTATGCTTTGAAACAATTTACATATGTTGTATTGCCAAACTTTAATTCAAACCAAATGAAAAATTTGTGTACTTACCATCTGAATCTTAACTGAATAATTTATCATATGTAATTATTATGACGTTGAGTATATTACACAAGAATTACTTTCAAAATATATCCTGCTAATTCACAAAGAAACCACACATAATATCACCTAAATATATAACTTTCTATTTGATTTTCTTTTTTGAAAGAAAGATTTTTGCTATAGGGTAGGTGTGCTTACTGGAGAGAGTGAAAGAGATAGAAAGCAAAAAATCATCCCCCAAGGGGGATGGCCATGCCACAGTCCCTTCTCCTTCATTCTCCTCTTGGGATTTTGGGTATACACGCACACACAGCTATAATGCGTTTTAAATCCCTGAGTCTGGAAAATCAAACTGGGGTCATCTATGTGGGAATCCAGTGGTGTAACCATTACTCCATCTGCCGGTCCCTCTACTTGATTAATTTCTTTCTCTTTTTAAAAATTATTTTATTTAATTTTATTATTCTTTTTAAAGAATTACTTTATTTAACTTTATTTTATTTTAATTTGAGCAAATTGGGGGGGAGAGAGGGAGGGAGGGAGAGAGAGAGAGAGAAAAGTGAGAAATCAAGCCACCAGGTCTGGGACTTGAACTATGGTTGGCCATATGGGAATCCAACATCCTTAACCACCATGCCACCTGCTGGCCCTGCTTTTATTATATTCTAATTTAACTTGACCAGAAGAAGGGGGGTGAGAAAATAAGCCACAAGGTCCAGGACTGAACCATGGTCAGCCATGTGGGAGTCTGTGGAGAGCAGCCAATCTGAAAACATGTGATGAAAACATGTGGCCTGTAGACACGTGCAGAAACGCCCTTCCATAAGCTGCTCTAGCAGGGCTATCGAGAAGCATCTACATACGAAAGCAGTATCTGCGTGTTGTCAATGGTTATCTTCCTGTTGTAGTTGATACCCAATACCCAAGATAATGCCTAGTATCAGGCTAAAGGAAGTCACATGCCTTTATCAGATTGTCCCCCAAACAAGATCAGAGAAATTACATGGCCAGTCATTTTCACATCTTCAGTGGATTTACATCCAAAAGCAATTGGCTTTGCATCCCACTTTCTCCTCCCCTAGTCTGTTTGCATTCCACTTCCTTCTTCCCCATTCCCTTTGCATCCCACTTTCCCCTTCTCCCATTTTCTGCCCTTTAAAAGAATAAACCTGAGGCTGGTTCAGGTCGCAACTTCTCCATCAGAGAGGCTGTGCCCACCCGATCCTCATCCTCGCTTTTCTATACTTGTGTGTCTTTGTGTGTTTGTTATTACGTCTATTTCTAATCCACAGCCTTCCCCACTCAGAGAAACGTGTTCATGCCGAGCTGGTCCCGGCAGGAGCCCAACACCCTCAACCACCACGCCACTTGCCAGCGCCTCTACTTGATTCATTTATAACTCTGGTACAAAGCTTTATAATCTAGAAAAAAAGAATTATATACCTTGTCTTAGCTGATTGTCACGATTACCGGTGAAAGAGAAACACTATTTCACTTTAAAGGTGAAAACTGAGACCCCTCAAGGCCGAGGGTCCACCCAAGGTCACAGAGATAACAGATGCCATCCCTTTTCTACCCATCACTCATATCCTGGCCCTCACCTTCTCAGAGAAGCCCCCCTTCCACTGACCCAGAAGAAACATTTCCAGGTACCTCCATGACCTCAACGCACAAACTCTGTGCGCCTAATTGCTCAGGTAGAACTGACTAGATGAGAAGTGAAACTGAGCAAGGACCCCCCATTGTATTTTCTATGGTTCTTGAAATAAAGGTCCATTGACATTGTAATGGCCAGAGTGAGAAGTCTTCAGACTTTGTTTATGAT